TTATTCATGGCCTCGACAATAGGGCACTTCTTCTGTCGTACCAGTGGTACGTTGGGATCCAAACTCAACTTGTGCACGACTATTTCCGTCGGGATACTTGTCATATCCTCGTGCGATCATGCAAAACAATCAACGTTAATTTTAAGGAATTCAATAAAACCAGACCTGAGCTAGGGGTACAGTTCTGTCCCCAAGTGAAATTTTCTTTCTAAGAATTCTTCGAACAATGCCACTTGCTCTAGTTCCTATGCCGTGGATTTTATTGCGTTCGTCTCTTCCGAAACTTGGAAATATCTCGGCGCCTAATATTGTTCTGACGACTCTACCCCTGGAATAACGTCTTCTAACTCGGGAGTAGGCGTCGGTTCCTGTAATTTCTATGTCGTGTGTTCATTCCTTTTGCTACTGGAAACTGAGATTGCATTCATCTCCCTTACTGCCGGTTGGTCACTTTTTATCTGCTTGATTCTTTCGGATGTTGGAAACTTCAGTAATTGGTGATATGTCAAAGGTACAACTTTTATTTCGTGTAACCATGGCCTTCCTCACATGATGTTGTATCCCATATCACCATCCACTACTTCAAAGAGAGTTGTTTTCATTACTCTTTCAGCATTCGTGAGCAGCAATATCTCTCCCCGGGTCGTCACGCTCGCAAGGTTAAATCCAGCGAGGAGTTTTGTTGCTGGAATAATGCTTCCGGTGAGTTTAGCTTGTTCTAATACTCTTCATTGTATGATATTAGCCGAACTTCCTGGATCCACTAGAACACGCTTAATCTTAAAATATAACACATTTAAAGAGATTACCAGTTTGTCGTTGTGTGGTAACAGCAATCCCAGAGTCTTTTGCTGTGATTTATCGATACTTTAGTCTTCTTTGCAGCCAAAAAGATGACCCGGTTAATCTCGCCCCCCCTCAAATATCATATTGATTGTCTGGTGTAGGGTTTCTTCTCTTACTTTCAAAGATTTCGTATTGTCTCTGTTGCGATCGTAATTGTTCTTAGCTCGATCACTCAAGAATTTTCTGAGATGACCATTCTTCAATAGAGTTTCCACCTCCTCCCGAAGATGTCGGCAGTCCCCTATCCAGTGACCGTTTGTCCCGTGGTATTCACACCATAAATTGGGATCCCTCTAGCTAGAATCAGAACTCATAGGTCTCGGGAATCGTGCTTCTTTAATATTCCTCGTGGCTGATACTAGTTCCACTAAGATGACGTTGAAGTTATACTCTAATAACCTGGGGAAAGAAAGATCTCGAGACCCCGGTGTTTCTTTATTTTAAAGTGATCTATTATTTCGACCATGATCAGTCCCTCTGTCAATGGTGAACTTGTTTGCTGCACGGAAATTTCTGCCACGACATTCGGTACGCTCGTAGGGCAAAAACCGGCCCCTCAAAGTACGCCTATCCGCATCGTAGTCGTCATTTGATTTTTCTTTATTCTTCTCCCGTCCTTTGGCCGATAATGTATAACCGATATGGTCATCTCCAATCCTTATCTTTGACTCGTATCGGTTGTGAACATCTGCCCAGGTTGTTGCTTGAAACTCAAGCAGGCTCTCCTTCAACTTAAGGGACGCGTCTGAACTTCTTGGATTCAATTATTTGGTAAATGCTTCAGTTGCCCATACATTCGGGACGACCGGGAGCAACATTCTTTCTTTCTGGAATCGGGTAACAAACTCTCGTAATAATTCAGATTCTCTTTGTGCGATTCTAAATAAGTCGGACTTCCGGGCTTGCACCTTTCTGGCCCCGGCATGAGAGAATCCACGAGCATCTCAAAGGAATCTATGGAATGCTCGGGCAGTAATGAATACCACGTTAAGGCTCCCCTCGTGAGAGTTTCGCCAAATTTCTTTAACAACACAGATTCAATTTCGTGAGGAGCAAGATCATTTCCTTTCACCGCCGTTGTGTAGGTGGTAATATGTTCCTGTGGGTCTGAAGATCCATCATACTTTGAAACTTCAGGCTTTTTGAAACGTTTTGGGATTAAATCTAGTGCCGCACTTGGATTGTACGGTAATGGAATATACTTCTTCGAGTTCGGGCCTTTCAATACTGGTGGTGCGCTCGAGATTTGATCCATGCGGGCGTTTACTTCCCTCATGAACTATAAAAGCTCATCTTTGAATAGATCATTCTCGTTGTTAAGACATGATCTGCTCCCCTTAGCCCCGTCGGAGCCAACTTCACCCCTATAAGTGTTGTTGTCGACTCTCTACATTGTTTGGTCTGCGGGAACAACATGAGGAATTGGATCTCGTCTGTTTGAATTATTCGAGGCCCCCGATAGTGCCTGCTTCATTTCTGTCATAACTTGATCATGCCGCGTGAGATGGCCTAGAATGATTGCATGTTGCTCTTGCATGATCCTCACAGCATCCGCTACATGCTCCTCATCAGCATCATCGGGAGTAATCTCCTGAACCCGTCGAGGGTACCGTTTGTCATGCACCGGCGTGGCGTCATTCCCCTCATTGCGGGTGTCACTGATTGAGTCCTCGAAATGAGGTTGATCCCCTCAAATTTCAAGGTTATGTCCATCGTTAACAGTGTTATCTGCCTTTTTGTATTTTTTTCTAAGACAAAATAATCAAAACACGTTAGTAAAAAAGGCAAGGATCAATTTAATTGCACGGCTGTCTAGGCCCCACGGTGGGCGCCAAACTGTTTACCCGTAAAACGGTATAGTTGAATTTATATGTGATTTCTAGATAAGTGAACTAATTTAATTCTGAAATAATATAATAATCGAAGAAGTATACAATACTTAGCCTTAGAATGTAGATGAAATAGCAAAGATGGTGATTCCGTGAACACGATTTTTCGGACACAGCGATGATGAGATTAAAAAGCAATAAGTAAAATTGTATAAAACTTTGCATAGAATAGAGTGTAAGTTTAGCCAGAAAATTCGTGTCCTTTACTATGGTAACTGAGCTCACTATTTATAGTTATGTCTAGGGAAAAAGGTGCAAGGATTGTGCCCTCCTTTAATGTCAATTATGAGGGTCATTGATGAAGATGTAACGTTAAACATAAGTGCCAAATTCTCTGTAACGGACCGTCGCTCTTAATCCTGCAGAATATTCCTTAGTAAATGCTACCGGGCGCAGAGCATTTAATATACCTTCATGAACGTTATCCTTTCCGGTGACAAGCAGAGTGGCTGCGTTCGGTCCTTAGTCATCCCATCTTGGATTTCACGTATCCTCTTTTTAGTCAACCTCGTGTTATATCATATTTTTCCCTATACAATTAGTCATTTGAAAAAAAATACCTACCAAACAAATCAATGGTTTATCAATAAATAAATACATCTGCTTATTATCAATTTTAATAATTTTATTCAAATACGTAGTTACTTATTTATAAAATCAATTTGGTATCAACTATTTTCAATAATCTGTACCAGATGAGCTAATGGTCACTAACGAGTAAACAGAAAGTGGACAAAAAGAAATATATCCAAAGAAAAGAAACCATTTTCGAAACTCGACACTCTTACCTCATTGTGTCTACACCCAGAAAGTCAAAAACGATGGGAATCAAATCAGAATCTGGCCCACAGTTTAAGGCACCATTCCTTCTTGTGGGCTTGTGGCTGTGCCAAAATGAAAAGAGTATAGTAGACTTTTTTCTTAAATTACAACTTCTATCTATCTTGATCACTTTATTTATTCAATTATATAGTAAAAAATGCTTTGCGTATCTAAAATGAAATGTTCCCAAAAAGGAAAACGGCTAAGAACTAAATATACCCTTCTTTCGAAAATGGTCTAATAATACCCCTCGTTATACTATTTGGTTATCTATACCCCTCCAATCATACTTTGGGTTCAAATATACCGCTCATTTAAACGGAGGGACACGTATATCGTCATGTTGATCAATTCTAAATATCTCATACTTAATTAAAAAGACTCATTACACATACCCGAAAAATAATTTTTTAAAGCAATTTTTTTTAAAAAAACTGGAAAGAACTGAAATTATTTTTTACTAAAAACTGAAAAAAATAAATATATTTTTTTTTTCAGTTTTTTGTAAAAACTGCTTTAGAAAAAACTGAAAAATATTTTATAAAACAATATTTTTGTAAAAATTGAAAAAAAAAGCTGAAAATCAATTTTCTAAAGCAATATTTTTTTATAAAAACTGAAAAAAACTGAAATTGTTTTTACTAAAAACTAAAAAAACGAAAATAATTTTTTTAAAGCTTTTACAAAAAACTGCTTTAAAAAAAACTGAAAAATATTTTCTAAAATAATATTTTTTGTAAAAACTAAAATAAAACTAAAAAGCAATTTTCTAAAGCAATATTTTTGTAAAAACAGATATTTTCTTCCAGTTTTTTTTAGTTTTTAATTGCTTTATAAAATTGTTTTTCTGTTTTTGTTTTTTCAGTTTTTACAAAAATATTTTTCAGTTTTTTTAAAGCAGTTTTTTTTGTAAAAACTAGATTTTTTTTCTTTATTTTTTTCAGTTTTTAGTAAAAATAATTTCAGTTCTTTCCAGTTTTTACAAAAAACAAAACTGCTTTAAAAAATTATTTTTCGAGTATGTGTAATGGGTCTTTTTAATTAATTTGGAGATATTTAAAATTGATCAACAAGACGATGACACGTGTCTCTCCATTTAAATGAGTGATATATTTGAACCCAAAATACGACTGTAGAGGTATAAATAACCCAATAATATAACGAACGGTATTATTAGACAATTTTGTAGGGTAAGGATATATTTGGCCCTCCTTCCGAAATGAAAATAAAAGAAACCGGCAAAACTGGAATCAGGTTCCACATGTATTTTATAGTTTATACCTCCAAAAAGTTTTTAAAAAGGAACCGAAACCATCCATTCAGATTCCATTAATTTGCCACGTCACCATCTAATGCGGCCCGAAAAGATCACTTTCACACGAAAAGGCGTGTCGTCCACGCCAACATCTCACGCCCCTATATAAATACCGCCCCACCTTCAACTCCAGCAGCAACCAGAGAGTGAACCAATAAAACAATGCAATCTCTACAGGAAAAGGCTTCGGAATGGAGTGGGGTTGACCCAAATGATGCATTCGCCATTGATGAAACCAATCTCTTTGAAAAGCTTGGCCTTCAGACTTTCATCAATTTATCTACCAATTTCTATAACAGGTTCATCCTTCTAATATCCGAATAAAAGCAAATATTTTTTTTTTTTGATGGGTTTTCAATTTCTCTAAATGGGTATTCAAGAAAACTCCTTAAAGTTTGAGACTTTGATTGAATTGAATTAGTTAGTATTTTGAGTTGAGCTTTTATTTCTGTGTGCCTCACTTTCTTGGATTGGTGACGAAAGTCAGCATGGGTATTTTCTTATTGTTAAAAAAATTGGCTTTATCTTTTCCTATTCGATTTGCATGGTTCCCAAACTTCTCTTTTTTTTTTTTTTTT